CGACCTACTTACCACTGGCTATCGTGCAGGTCACGGGTTCAACTCCAGGCAAATGTGCAGATACTGTACACAGGTAAGCTGAGGTCAAAGGATCGACCCCTGGGATCTGCATCGGCTACTGCCAAAGGTGAAAACTGTTTCACAAATGTGCGTACACAGGCCTGAGTGCCTGCCTATCGTCTACTCCCTCGTACAGAATGTGTGGTCCTCACAGCTGTATCTGGTACAGTTACAAGGCCAGTATACATACATACATACGTAAACATACATACTGTTGGGTCACATCATTTTCTGCACAACATCATTTGTCGCAGATGTGCGTACACAGGTGTGAGTACCTGCCTACCGTCTACTCCCTTGTACAGAACGTGTGACCCTCGCAGCTCTATCTGGAACAGTTACAAGGCCAGATACATACATATATGCACACAAACACAAACACATACACATGCATACATGCATCTCTCTGGCGGGTCACCCTAGCCATGTATGGACCTGCCCACGCCCGGCTGTTTTTTTCAATTCACAGGCGGCCACCCACAACTGGCCCGTTGTTTTTCCACTGGAACTGCCCCCAACCCAGCCCGGGGCCATCCTCCCACCACCTGGCCACATGCAGGCACGTGGGAGTGGGTATGGCTATGACCAGCCGTTTGCAGGCTCTGCTGGTGGTTCAAGCTAGTACCCTGTGTTTCCCATGCTCTAAATTATACCTGTACCTGGTCCCACAGGGGCCTTGGTGCAGGAGCATGAAATCATGCTCATGCCCAGAAATTGGGCATGCAAATTAGGTATGCAGTACTATACTGTGGACCTAGTACGCCTGGGTACGTACATAATTTATTAATTTGAGCATTCTGGTAATTGTGTACTATAACTGCAATTTGCCGGTACCAACCTTGGCCCACTTTGGTCCAGGGCATGGACATAATTTCCACAGGCCATTTCCCAGGTATAGATGCAAGTTGGGCACATGGAACTGGGTCTAAGCCTCTAAGGGGAATTCCCATCTTTGGACAGGGTACAGATGAAATTAAATTTCCCCTAAGTATACTAGATAGCAAACATAAACAAATCCAGCATTCAGAACTTGAGATATTGTTTTTGCACCAGTCCGGCAAATATGGTCTCTCTTCTACCTGCCGTTCTCGGCGACTCCAGGGGCTTGTGGGATTTGTGGGGTGTTTGGGGCGGGGGCATTGGGGTGGAGGGAATTGGGAGCGATTTCGAACCTTCGGGTGGACAAACGTTGGGTCCAGAGGGTGCTGACCTGGAGCCGGGATGAACCTCTTTGACTTCTGCTAGCTCCAGGCATATGACGGTATTCCATGTGACCTGCGGAAGCAGAATATCCACTCTGCACAGTTGCGGACGCTGATTCGGATGGCACCCTTTTTACAAACATTCCAGGCAACAGCTACCCTGTTAGATTGAATAAACACAGTCACTATCCATACATCTAGACTGAAAGTTACACCAAATACAGATGTGATAACCATGCAATTCTATTCGGGGGAAGATGGTAGTTCATGTTCATGTTCGTGAATGGTACACAGATGTAACTGTTAGTGAACAGATCATGGAATTCAAACTTCAAATCCAAACAGAATCAGATGGGAATAACATTAGGCGCTACCCCCTTCATAGAAAGAACGTTATAGGCAAAATATGGCTCCCACATGCTATGACACAGAGGCACGACAATGCACAATTGCATATATGTGTAAATCTATCCCCGCTCTACAGAGAGAATGTGGTGCGGATGTGAGTGCAGAGGAGACAGTCAGCAGAAGGCGAAATAGAGACAGAGAAGGCATGTGTGGACCGTGGTGACCTCATAATCCTCACGACAAAGGGAATGCTGATCATATCTGAAGCGAACGTCGGCTGAATAATTGTGCAGTGGCTGCGACGAGTTTCTTGGGGTCATGCATCTGCCATTGATATACGAAAGGTGGTGCTAATAATTGGGATGGAGACAAAGAGAGTGTGTTCATGTGTTACAAAATCAAGTCTGTATCTGCACGCACGGGTGCGACAACCTCTCAGTATCTTGCAGTTGAGGAATCTTACCCTGAGTGTGCGGCTTCCAATTAAGGATGCGACCAACTGCAGCCCAGAGAAGAGAGCTGGACGATAGTGAGTGAGACATCGATTGAGGGCAGTCCATATCCTACGTACGAAACCCGTTTCCTGAAATGGAAAGTCAACGAAGCATAAGACCTGTTGTCAGCATCCACCAGATGGAAAGTCGCAAATGCTGCCAGTTAGTTGATGCTAGCAGGTCATCTCAAGGCCAATGGTGGACGGGTAGGCTGAATGCAAGACACAGGCATTTCACAATTCTCAGGGGCAGAGGAGGTCGAAGCGACCACCCCTTCGTGGGTGTCGGAGCAGATATTTTGCTGTGCACATGCCAATTGAACCTTACCTGCATGTTCACAAAATGGCACAGTAACAGTGACGGTCCGCCGAACGTATCCCCCGGCAGCAGTACTACCAAGCTCGGTCTTGACCTATAGGCACAGGTGCAGAAGCTTGACCGGATGCATTGCCTGGCCTTGCTGCAGTGTCAAGCGTGGTGGTTTGCCTCGATCCAGCGAGCGACATCTAAACAGTGCACGGGCTGGCATTGTTTCGCAAGGATGCACACGGTCTGACCTGTATATATATTATATAGTAGTATGGAGTTTAATCAGATGCATTGCTCGACCTTGCCGTAGCGTTCAGTGTGGTGCTTTGCTTCGAAGACAGCGAACAACATGTAAACAGTGTACGGGCTGATTGACATTGTCTAGCAAGGGTGCATGCATTGATTAACAAAATAATGAAACACATGCAGTGGCTTTGCCGCATCATGATGAGATCATTGAATCATCATTCAGATCGACTCTTTTTTCTCTCTCAGCGGGGGCCATTGTCTCACTTTGTCTCACGTTCTGACATCGTTCAGTTCCCTGATTCCGATCATTTCCCAATGCTGTTTGAGTGCTTCAGGGCATACTCACACAACTTGACACAAACACTTCCCTAAATTCATCCGACCGCGATTACGACCAGACCGGATGCATCTGACCACAATCGCGTCCACAGCTCAGTCGAAACCATCCTAGTGTTAGTATTATTAAAACTTTAAAGATCATTAAATTCAAACATTTGTTGGAAAGACAGGATTCCTGACTCGTGAGTAACCCATACAATCATTTCAGATGTCAACCACAGATTTCATTTCCCCCCCCCCACTAAGCTGATCAGAACACTACTAAAAGAGAAGAGAAGAGAAAAGAAAAGAAAAGAAAAGAAAAGACCAGATAGTACAGATACTGCACTCAATTCTCGTCCAAAAGACGGACACTGAAGACATGTCTTCCTCTGCAGATTCGTTGGTGGCAGGGAAAGTGTTTCTCACCTTCTCAAGTCATCCTTGTGCAGAGAGATGTGTCAATCTTACCTCCTTCTTGGTCTGGTTCCAGTTTGAAGTTCGTTCTTTGGACTGATGCACTGGAAGGCAATGAGAGTGGACGAGAACGCCGCGCAAGCAGGTTCATTGTACTGATGGGTCCTTTATGGGTAGCAAAAAGGACTTGGTCACTTTTTGCCAAAGTTTCTGGGTCCCATGGACAACGCCTGGGGCAACGTGTCACTCACCAAAGCTGTTCTCCACTTCTGGCTGTTGAACCTTGTAACCACTGTTCAAAACCAAAGCACGCAAACAAGATCGGGCTCGCCATGGAAGACCTGGCCAGGCATTGCAATACAGGGTCCAGAGGTTGCCCATCGCTTTTTTTCGTCGTATCCAGAGGGACAGAAGTCGGGCAATGCTTGATTAGATCACAGGAACAGAGTCAACAGACTGTTGCCACACTAATCACGCATAACTTTCCTGACTCAGAGAGGAATGGAGACGGAAAAGGGACCAGGAGAGGATGATGTGCATGACATTGAGCAAATGCGAAACTCCGGAATAAGCGCAACAAGCGCGGGCCAGAAATCCATGCTCCGGGGAGGTTGGGGGGAGTAAATAGTGCTCAGCAAGGGAAGGAAAAGAGCCTGCACCCAGATTACCTGACTGATTCTGGCTGGAGCGTATACAGAGGGCCAAGAAGCAGGGAAAAGAGAGGGAAGCAGGAAGGAGTGACAGGGGGGCTGAGGGCAGAGAGAGGGAGATGAGGGGTGGGGGGTGGGGTCGCTGAAAAAAGCCTCGTGATAAGGGCCCGACAAGCATTAGTTTAACTATGGTACTGATTCCTAGAAAAGCAGCGGTAACTATGGTACTGATTCCTAGAAACAACAGCTTAAAGAAAAAGAAAAACAAGAGAGAGGATCGAAGAAGGAAAGAAGTTACGCAGAGAAACAGGAAAACACACAGTGGACATCGAGCCAGGCCCATGAGGAGCTGTTTTCTGTTGTTTTTTTTCTGAAAAAAAAAAGAAGGAAAACAGACTGAGAAGGGGGATAGGGAAATGAAGGCATGTCGCAGGAGTGCAAAAAGGGGATGCAAAATACTTTCAGTTATCAAGAACAAGATTGAAAAAAAAAAAAAGGGAAAAAAAAGCACAACAAAAGCAGACAGGTACCAGAGAAAAAAAACAGAGGGCTGGATACGGAGGAAAAAGGTGAATCACAGGAGTGCAAAAGGTGGGCGCAATGTTGTTGTTGTTGTTGTTGTTGTTGTTGTTTATTTGGACCATTTCTCGATCTATGCCCCATTCTCGCACAGTATAGTAATATAATTCCACTTTTCAGTGATGCCTCAATGGACAGGATGCAGAATATTTTTACGTGTGGGGGGCGGGGGGGGGTAGGAGAGGGAGCCCTGGAAGAGCAAGAAGATGCCAAAGAGCTCGAAGGGCGCCAGATTAACGCAAGGACAATTTTGGGAAAGGGAAAAGAAAATCCAATCGTGCGACTATGGAAAGGAAACAACAATGCAAACTCGGGACTGCCTGTGAACAAGTAACAGAATAGGGAGAGGTCAGCACATCGCAGGAGCAAAAAAAGTCGATACAAAAGATTCATTAAACAAAATTAACTTTTTCTTGAAGTACAGAAGAACATAGAGAGTGCTATAAAACACGGAGAGCGTACAGGTACCAGAACACCAAAGGGCAGTAATGTCTACAACTTTCGCCTCTTTTCCGCAGGGGCTCCAGGCATGGGTTTCCCACCGATAGGAGAAAAGAAGGTTTCTATACCCCTTTGCTTTGCACCAGTCCTACCTGAAACAGAGAGACTTGATTTAGGATGAGCAGCGCCTGCTTTTTTGGGGCCTTGAGCAGCTTTGCGACTGATTAGCTGATCATCTGAAAGCTTAAGTGGATTCTTCCGAGTGTCTGAAGGCTTGGAGAGGCTTTTCTGGTCAGCAGCTTTAAGCGGATTTCCTTGTTCCAAAACCTCGAGCAGATTTCCCTGGTCCGAACGCTCAAGGAGATGATTTGCATCCGAAAGGACCCTGGAAGGGGTACTTGGTCGCAAGACAACTTGCCTCCCTTCGTCATCCAGCAAATCAGCATGCTGTTGGCCCCTGGAAGGGGCATTCGGTCGCAAGACGACTTGCCTCCCTCCGTCTTTTCTGCTTCCCCTCAAGTTGTGTGAATCTCTCCAATTGACCTCTGAGACTTTCTCTAGCTCGCACTGCTCTGCATCTTTACCCACTTGGTTCTCTCCTCCTCCTCCTCCTCCTGCTGCTGCAGCTGCTGCTGCCATCTTCTCTACACCCTCCATTTCTGCAGGCATTGCTTTCTTTGGACATTCCGCGCTTCCACTACGACCACCACCACCCACGTCTTTACGCTCGGAATCGTCTTTCCATTCGGTGTCGGTGGTGTGTCGCGAGATAGCTTTTGGCTCGCCCTCACACACAATCCGACTTCCTCCCCAAACGTCAACGCATCGATTATCATCAGGCACACATTCGGCACTTGTTGAAACTCCACGAGCTTGACCCTGCAGCTCTGACTTCTCTGCAGCAGTAGCTGACATTCTGGTCTCCTCAGGGAGACCATGACATTGTCTTATCGCCAATTCACTTGGTGCTAATCTATCATCATTTTGTCTGATGGCACCGGCTGTGCAAGTCTTGCCCGCTCTGTGATCAGCATCACCATCGAAAGTACCTTCAGCTGTGAAAGCAGGACTTCTTTTTGCTGCATTCGTAGCATCAGCAGCTTGATTAGAGTCCACGGCTGCCATCACCGTTTCATTCGAAGATTGCCCGCCAGCTTTATGAGAGTCCGCTGCTCCCACCACCATGTCATTCGAAGCACTGTCCAATTCCAGTACAGGTGGACTTTTGGTCTCAATAGGCCCATGCACTGCCTGGCTGGGCAGGTTCCTAAGCTGGCTAGCATTTTTTGCATCTGTTGTGTGCTTATCTACAGAAATAGTCAGCGAAATGGATTCCCTTGTGTCCGATTCGACTGCTGAGGTTGATAAACCTGACCTCGTTGGTGTCAGTGCCACATTTCCACCACCAGGATGGCTAGGCGAGTAGGCAGCAGCATCGCTCCCTGCAGCTGGTTTCCTAACAAAAAGTGATGTCAGCCTCTTCTGCCGCCTGTCTTCCCGAAGCTGCTTTATATTTGTGGCAGAGAGCTTCGGCCGAGGATGATCTGCCAAACGAGGCTGTTCTAACAACGTAACGCTGACCGCCGTATGGTCACTCCACTTCTTCGGCAGATTCAGGATGTCGGTGGTCACTATCTGGGGCAGAAAACCTTTGTCGCAGATTGTGTAATCGATCCTGTTCGACAACAATCACAGAAAGCATCACGCCAATCGCAGCAATTAAGTGTAATATCTTGCATTTCACGGAAAGGAACTAGAAACGTTACCGGGGCAATGCTCAGTGCTCAACTTTGCTCATTAGACTGAAAGGAGCTAGAGTGGAGAGTCCTTAGCTTTTCATCACCTATATAGTTTACAGGTTTTTTTAGCCCTCCACTTGTCAAGCACTGAAAAAAAAAAGAAAAAGGAGAAGTTTGGGAAAAGCTGAAGGCGCAATCAGAACAGAGAAAGAAGCTGCATGCACTTGCCATCCTATCAGCAGACCAAAAAATAAAGAGTAAAACAGGGCTCCTTTCCATCACTTGTTCCATATCAACAGAGCCAAAGAGCAAAAGCAAGGTCAGACCATCAGAGGTTTGTCGACGATGCAATCTCATACCTTACGCCTTCGTTGCGAGAGCGTGCATCGTTCCGCTGATCCCAGCAAGAAAATGCATCGCTCGCGTATGGGTGAAAATATCTGAAGAGGTCAACGTAGTCTTTCATCAACTCGTCCATCCATGCTAATTCAGCTTCGCAAGTCGTTATCAAGACATAACAGGACCCACGACAGAACACAAACGAAGAAGAGCGTTAGCTTTTTTCTTTTGCCACTGCATTACGACACATGTGGTTAACTAGGAGTGTTATTCTTGGCAAATTTTGCACCGAAACTGTCACATTGTGCTGATTTTTTGTTTTTTTTCTTGTTTTTCTTTTTGTGTGATATGTATGTGCTTTAGGGTACGTCATGTGTCCAGTTTTGACATGTTTGGATCAATAATGAAAAAGTTGGCATTTCGAAAACAGCAAACATTTGGCCCCCCGTTAACACATCTCGCCATTACGACCCTGAGAAGTTGTGAGCACGAGCCATGCATGGTTCTGTGAGTTCAGCGAGAGAGCGTTCCAGCTTTGAACAGGTGGACACAGAGGGGCTGATATAACCAGGAATGCCAGATCATATACTCGTTACGAAGATATACAAATTTACAAATACAGTCCTCCTGGACGTCCGTTAAAACTGGAACGATACGGAGAAGATTAACATGGCCCCTGCACAAGGATGACATGCATAAATAAAG